TTGAGGGTACTTGTTTATCTTTTACACCTGTAATTTTAAAATTTCTTACTAGAAGCATGCATTACCATTATACTAAAAAAAATTACAAAGTGTTATGCTACTTATTAGACCAACAGTAATGACTCGATTTCTTCCTTTTGTGCTGATAGTATAACTACCACTCTGGGGACCAAGTTTTACAAGTCAGGTGCTGTAATGAACCCTGAATATTTCCTAAGGATTGGTCATATTTGCTCTTTTAGTTTTAAAAGGAACCTTTAGCAAGTGCTTGATTGGTTACAGAGTTACTCATTACTGTAACCAATTCAGATTGGTTACGGAGTTACTCATGGCCTTGTCTTTTTTTATGAATTTGGAATTCCTCTGGCAATTTTCTTTCCTCATATTCTTAAAGCAGCGCCTCCTACTTTGAACTGTTTTTATCTGTTTTCTTATCTCCCCTCCTGGACTATAAATTCTTTAATTTCCCTTCACCCTCACATCTAGGTCTTTCCTAGTCCTGTTAGTTATACACTAAAGTACCTTTCACTTTCATTTTATCAAAATACCTTGTGCTTTTATTTTATCTGTGTTGCCTGCATTCTAAATCAAGCCACCATCCTCTTCCTGGAATTGTCTCCTGATTCTCTTCCTTATTCTTTCCCTCTTCTAATCCACTTACCACATAGCAGCCACAGTTATCTTAAAATCAAATCATGTCACTCTGCTGTTTAAAACCTATCAGTGGCTCTTTAAGTTCATTCCCCAATAACTGGGGATTTTGAGGTAGAAGAATTGCCATTATGGTAAAAAAAAAAAAATGTGTATATATATGTGAAAATTTCAAATATATGAAAGTAGAGAAAATAGTTTAATTTCCGTTTACTTATCTCAGTGGTCTTCCAAAGTTGTCAACTCATGGTGCATCGTGTTTCATAGGTACTCCTACTCATTCTGCCTACTCCTTGGTGTATCATTTCATCAGTATGTGTTTCAATGGTATATCTGAAAGCTAAACTGTTTTTTTTTTTGTTTTTTTTTTTTGGTCAGAGTCTTGCTCTGTGCCCAGGCTGGAGTGCAGTGGTGATTATAGCAGCACACTGTAACCCTGAATTCCTGGACTCCAGCAATCCTCCTGCCTCAGCATCCTGAGTAGCTGAGACTACAAGTGCATGCCACCACAACTGGCTAATTATTTTTTGTAGAGACAGGGTCTTGCTATGTTGCTCATGCTGGTTTCAAACTCTGGCCTCAAGTGATCCTCCTGCCACGGCCTTCCAAAGTGCTTGGATTATAGGGATAAGCCACCATGCCTGGCCCTAAACTCTTTTTTTTAAAAAACCATCACCATACACAAAAACCTATAACCACAATAAGATTGTCATTTATATAGAAGATTAATAATTCCACAATATCATACAGTATTTAATATGTGGTCAGATTTCCCTAAATGTCTCAACTTATTTTTGTACTTTGAATCAGGGTCCAAATAAGGTCCATATTGCAGTTGGTTGTCATGGTCACTGAAGTCTCTTTCCCTTCCATCTCTTTTATTTTGCAGTTTACTTAAAAAATTGGGGTTTTTTCCTGTAGTTTTCCATAGACTAGGTTATTATTGCATCCTGTGTTTCATTAGCAGTTGTAAAGTAGTGATCTGATTCTTTCCTTCTTCATATATCAGGTGGAATACTTCCCTCATAAACTACAACACTTGATTCTATACAGGTTCAGTCTGTATAGGGAAAGGCAAGATAAATAATTCTTTCCCCTTACCAGTTTTCAGAAATGAGAGTTTGGTTTCCTAGCATCTTCCAGTGATGACGCGCGCGTGTGTGTGTGTGTGTGTGTGTGTGTGTGGGTGTGTGTGTGGAGAGAGAGAGAGAGAGAGAGAGAATGTGTTTCATTACGAACTCATTTAAACATACTAGAACTCAATCCATTGCAATTAACTGTTTTTGCTCAAATTATTCCATTTTTGGCCGGTGAGTGTATCTTCAGGTTGACTCCGAAGTCTTTTTGATATACCTTCAGTAGTCTTTGATGGTTTTCTTGCTTTCCAGTTTAAATAAGATGTTCCAGAGTCAACTTATACATTTTCTGTTCTAGAATTGGCTATTTTTTCTCAGGAGCTCTGGCTCCTTTTCAAGTGGGAATTAGTCTTTAGAGGTCATAGTCTAGGTGCTTAGAATGCTCATTGCTGCTGGATTGATCTCATAACTTTTCTGCAGTAAGATTATTATTTCATGAAGAATTTGATTATATTCATACTTTTCACCGATTTTCAAATTGAGCTACAATTCACATCACATAAAATCTACCTTTTAAAGTATATAATTCAGTAGTTATAATGTTGTACAAACATTACTGTTATCTAATTCCAGAACATTTTCATCACTCCACAAAGATACCACGTGCCCACTAGCAGTCATTCCCTATTCCCCTCTCAACCCAGCTCCTGGCAACCACTAATGTCTAGAATAGGTAAATCCATAGAAACAAAGTACATTTCATATAAGTGGAACCATACAATATATGGCCTTTCGTGCCCCAGGTTCTTTCACTTAGTATAATGTTTTCATCCATGCTATATCATGTATTAAAATTTTATTCCTTTTTGTTGAATAATATTCCATAGTATGTACATTATATATGCAGAAGGCACCACATTTTGTTCATTCATTAATTGATGGACGTTGGGGTTGTTTCCAGTTTTACTGTTATGAATAATGCTGTTATGAACATTTGTGTACAGGTTTTTATGTGGACATGTTTTCAGTTCTCTTGGGTATATACTTGGGAATGGAATTGATGGGACATATGGCGACCCTGTGTAACTTTAGGAACTGCCAAACTGTTTTCCACAGAGGTTGCACCATTTTACATTCCCACCAGCAACGTATGAGGGTTTCACCTTCACAGTCCACCTGTGTTTTTTAGATTAGTATCTTCATCACTGGAGTTACATTTTGAGTTATTTAACAGTTGTGCAAAATAAATCTAATTCACTTTCGTATAAGTTGTTGAAGATACAGCAATGTGTATGTGTATACGATGCTGTCATTAGAAATTTTATCCTAAAACACACATACTTTTTGTATAACATTAGAACTAAAAAATTCAGTAGGTGTTTTCTTTTTCAAAGGTTTCTTTACAACATCCAGTTCTTCTAGTAATTTCATAACTTCAGGAATAATTTCTTTACCCCTCTCCTCTTTATTATAGTTAATTCCAACAAGTGCCTTGTTTACGCACCCTTTCCTTCCTTCCTAAAACAACACTTCTCTGTTACTCTGCGTCACCAAAGCTGGCTTTTTCTTCGCAATACTTACCTACTACCTGACATTAGATATTTCTTTGTTTCTAGTGGGGAAGGCAGACAGTAAAATTAGGTTCCGGGACTTTTTGTTCACAGCTGTCTTCCTAACATCTAGAACAGTGCCTGGAATATAGTAGGTATTGAGTAAATATTTATCGAAATGAATAAATGAGAATTTTATACTGATTTGGGTTCTTGAGCTAGGTCAAATCACCAAGCTTTGGTTTGGGTTTGAACAATGGTAAGAATGATGATTCTGACTTGATTTATTCCTGAACCATCTGGTTCTTCATTATCATTGTAGCCTCTAAAAGGAGGAAGCAAGGAGACCCTGCTTGGTCGTCTTAGCCTCTCCATTTATACCTCTCGTGTTTGGTTTTTATGCCATTCACACACTGATATCTCCCTCATTTATATTAATATCTCTAGCCTCCTCCTCCTTGATCTCCAGGCAGCCTGTGGCAACAAACCAATCCAGGCTGGTTTATCTACACTTTACTTGGCATCTTCATTTGGATATGTGATAGGCATCTCAAACATGACATGTCTCAGATGAAACTCCTAATTTCTTGTTCCTTGTCCCTTATCTCTACATGGGGTGGGAAACCCATTTTTCTTATGGATGTCCCTCATCAGTAAATGGGAAATCCTTGCTTCCAATCGCTGAGACAAAAAGCTGAACTTCTCTTTTTCTCCCATATTTAATTCATCAGCTCAAATCCTATGGGTGGTATTTTCAAAGTATATCCAGAATCCAGCAACATCCCCCCACTTCCGTCGCTACTACCTTTTAAACACTACATTGTCTCTTGCCTGGATTATTGAAGTAGCCTTCTAATTGGTCTCTCTGCTTCCTCCTTTACTCCTCACCCCCAGTAGCCTTGTCTGTTCCCCCCACTCAACAGCCTGAGTGATTCTTTAAAGTAAGTTGTCTCATGACCTTCCTCTCTTCATAATCCCCCAACGGCTCAACATGAAATGGGACCCACTACTTCTTTGATGTCCTCTGTTCCCTCACTTAAACATTGCTTTTAAAGAGTTTATGTTGAATGTTGAAGCCCAAGCTCCCTGAAATATCCTCTGTTTACGGAGGTTTACCAAACCAGAAATGTTAGCTTTGCAGGAGAGCAATCAAAAGAGAACAGCAACTCATTCATTTTTTATTAGCCTATCTTTGGGCTTATAGTTGGGTATTCTTCCTGCTCCTTTTTCATTCTTAAAAAACCAGGTAAAGCTATTAGCACAGTTTGTAAGTTTTCAGAAGAACATAGAATATTTGGGTAATAAGGCAATTTTTTCATATTTTGCTTATCAAACTAAGTCAGTTTGATTTCCACAGATGGGGAATCCATTTTGAGTTTACAGATAACCACAAAACATTCTGAAATACAAAAATATTGTTTTTGCATTTGCATGTTGATTTTAACAGATGTTTTATTATTTTCATCCAAGTTTTATTACTGTCAACATTAGGAATGTTAGGCTTTGCTACTTTTTTGCAGAAATAGGTTAAGACCAAAAGAATTTTTACATAGGAATTATCGAGTTTGGATTTGATGAGTGGAAATTGCCTGGGTGATACTCAACTTTTTCTTGGCCGACTCTGGTTAGGTTTTTAGGTCTACATATGTACAGTCCCTTCAATTAGGGTATGACCAATTAGGGCAAAAACTATTGCCAATTTTGCCTTTTTTTTTTTTTTTAGATCTCAGCATAAGGGAAAGAAGAGCCTTGTTAGACACTGAAGAAGGGACGAGGATTTCTCCTCCTAGTCTGGGCCTCCTGTCATGGTAAGTACGGAAAATAACAAAGAAATTGGAGTCAAAAAACCTCTGTCCTGAAAACTAAATGAACACCAAAAAAAAACTGGATAATTCAGTTACCCAGTTTTTTTGTGAGAAAACATTTTACTTTTCCTTTCCCAGATCTCTCTTCTTGTCTCCTTTTATTTTATTGTTTACTAGTAATAATTATAGAGTACTCCAGAGTATAGAGCAGTTTCGTTTCTATTAACTGTAATCCTGTGAGCCTAGATATTATCTCTTATTTTTCAGTCAGGTAGTAAAGTAGAATCAACACTAAAACACACAGTTCTTGGACTCCAGGTTTTTTATTCCTTTTCTGGGAAGTAGCATGTGGTGAAAACATTTGTGTGTGTGTGTGCGCGTGTTTGGTGTGTGTAGGTGAATTGTGAGATGGTCATCTGCATATTCTTTATTTTTTAATTTTTTGACAAATTATATATATTATGTACAACAGGATGTTTTGAAATACGTATACATTGTAGAATGGCTAAATCAAGCTAATTGACACACACATTACCTCACAAGCATATATGCTTTGTGAATTTACCTTTCCTGATTAGAAGCAATTCCCTACCTTCCCTATTCTGTCTCTTTTAAGACAGTATTTTGATCCCATGGAGGTGGAGCAGCTCTGCACACTCCCTCCTACATCTTCGACCAAAAACAGGATATAATAGACACATTTTCAGTGACATATGGACCATTTAGGGCGCAGTCCAAGCAGAGAAGATGGTGCAGTGCGCCAACCACATTTCTCTGAGGATATGTAAACAGTGCTTCAAGGCTTAAAAAAGAAATGGTCGTCTGTAATGTTGTCCTACTTCTACCTTGTGATGTTTCCTAGATCCAAACTGGTTTTAATGCTGGTGCACAGAGGAAGGAATTGAAAAGGCCATGTTAATTTCAAGCTTCATTAGGGACATGTACGGAAAACAGTTTTCAAAATTAAACACAAAGTGAAACAAAACAAACTAGTTGTGCAGAAATGTCATATTAAAAGGAAGAGAAAGGTAACAGCTCCCATCTTAAAGCTGGGCCATTTTTTTCTTAGTTTATGGGCAGTACAATTTTCTGATTTGTCTTGTACCCAAATATTGACTTTTAACTATTATTTCTCTAGACTGTGTTTTATTTTATTGCTTTTCCTGAACAGTTTTTAATGAATTGAAAAAATGCTTGCCTAGTATTTATATGGTGTGTATGACAAAGCTAATGAATAGCAAGTGATGGGCTTATTATGAAAGCAGCTTGGTTCTGTATTGAGGGTTGTATACCATATAGCTAGCAACAGCGTGGTGGTTCTTCTTGCTGCTAAGGTCTCTGTAGTGCCTAGTAGACAATCTTCCTAGTGTTCTCCCTGTCCTGGCCCTACAGACATGCCCTGGAGATGCTTCTGTGTGCAATAGTTGGGGAGCAGCATGGCCATGTGTCTTCGTTTTTTAAATTTCTCATAAAGCAGCATTATAACAAATTTGTTAACATTCTCATTTACAGTTCTACCACCAGAACTCATGATTGTATTCCTTTTTAACGAGTCCATGTTATATATATGTTTTATATAGTCAGAATAACATATTAAGTTTCTATTTTGCTTATTTCACTAAATGAATTAAACATTTTCCCATATTAACTCAATGGATACCTAAAGATCATTTTACTACCTCTAACATTTTGCAAGTTGAACTATTGATTTAACAATATGTCATATTGTTTTAACGTTTAGATTGTATGTCCTTAATCCCTAGTTTTTGTATAGAGAAACCAGGAGCACTGAAATTTTGTTTTTAATGTATACCTCTGTACTAATTTGAGAATAACATCCTCTTCTGTCTACTCTTAAAGGTTCTTAAATGAGGCTGGATTCTGTCTTTGAGAGGTTAAGTATTAGGAAAATATGTTTTCATGGTATATTATGGAAAATCTCAAGCCTATGCAAAGAGAAGTACAATGAACCCTCATAGACATATCATTTAGCTGTAATAATCATCAATTCATGGCTACTCTTGTTATCTGATTTCCTCACTCCTAACCCTTTGGATTATTTTGAAACAAATCCCAAGCATTATATCAAGAGAAATGGTATTTTTTATGGCCTTCAATACCAGTCTTAGGAAGAGTCATTGAAATCGACAGTAGGACTGGTAATTACTTTCATTTTTACATTTTGCCAACATCAACACTAGACGTGAATTTGGTTAACAGGACTAATGGGTCATCAGTCTCTCCTCCCCACATAGTTTAAATATTTATCTCTAATGATGACTTCCCCTCTGAGGTATGCACTTAATCTCTCTTAGCTGCATAGTTTAGCCAGTAGCATAAACTGGCCTGTAACTGTGGTGACTGGTCCTTTTTTTCATAGATGACCCCACTGACTTTAGGGAACTGGGTGGAGACTACAAAGTGCCAGATTCCACCAGGCCTGCTATTCTGCAATACCAGGAAATAGATGATGTGGAATACATTCTAATACTAATAAGTTACTGCTTATATCCTAGGAGAAATTTGTTTCCAAGACTCTTATCAGACCAATACCTCCCAGTTTTTCTTTCCAACTCCCCACTCATTAACCATCTTAAGTTTGGCCTCCTTTTTTCACCTATGAAACTTACAGAGACTATAATAAATACAGGCTGTTAATTCAACTGCCAAATTCAGCTGTTTAGCCAAGAAATGTTTTTTGGATAAACTTTTGTCTAGAAAGTCAGTGGAGTTGGTCCTAATGTTAAGACCTTGAGGATTGGCCGGGCGTGGTGGCTCACACATGTAATCCTAGCTCTCTGGGAGGC